GAATGCCTGGGCTAGAGAGAAAGGACTAGAAGCTGAGGTGCCAGGAAAAGAAAGTATAGGTATTTCAGAAAGGAAGAATGGATAAGAAATCGGTAATGACTGAAGAGTAGGAGATGATGGAGGAATCAAAGATGACTCCAAGGTTTTTAGAATAAACTGGTGAATTTGCTTGACATCTCAGAAATTTACCAAATATATGGGAGCTCTGATATTCACATTAGAATCAATTAATCCTTGTTACAGTGAAAGATATGATACATGTTCTGGGATAACATTCACAAGTGAGTTATACACTGATGACTTATGATACAATCCACAATATAACTGAAGCCAAGGCAAAGTACTTTAAAACTAGATTTTACTGCTGAGCTAATGTGTTAGGTTTAGCTGGTCTGCATGAATGCCCAAACAGACTCATTTCTATGAAACAAGACAGTTAAAAAATACAAACAAAACTTTCATATTTCCTTCCATATTTCCAAGTGTCAGCAATGAAGGAATTTGATAAGTTGATCATTAGCAACTGAAACCCACCACAAGTGCCTATGGGAGTAATCCCTATTTCCTTACATACTTATTCTTGCCAGATTTTTTGTCAATCTGATCTAATTGTAGACTTTGGACCTATTAATTCATGCTAATCTGGATTATTAATCTAATTAATATATTTTTACTAGACCAAAACTGATGGAACGCACAGTTGAAAGAGAAAAGCTTTTATTTCCATCTTCTATAAAAGATAATTTTGCAACTATGAAAATTTAAAAGACTAAGAAACAATGCAGAAGTTGTTAAATATTTTCTGGACTCCTTGTGATTTCCGTACCAGTCTGTTCATAACTGAAAAAGCAGTAAGCATTAATCTGTTCATGATACTAGGTTAAACACTGTCCCAAAGTTAAATGGATGCTCTTTCAACTATTTCAGCATTTACAATGCAAGAGATGACACTGACATGAACAAACAGGAAGGAATTATTTAAGTGTGTTAAAGCAAAAGATATCTTGTAGGACAATGAATAAAAACCAATAATTGGATTGCATTTTGTATCCAGGATGAAGTAGGGAAAATAATCTGTCCTACTATTAGCTTAGTACCTTAAAGAAAAAAAAGCTACAAAGGTTTAAAATACTGAGGGTGGGGAAGACAGGGAAGAGGAATAAAAACCTTCAGATGAGGGAGAATTATTTTAGTTTAATTTATGAAAAATTTACCAAATGGTTACCAAACTACCCTAGAGAAGAATGAAGTTTCTCAGACTAATCTACATGCCAACAGTGATACTGCTCCTTCAAAGCAGTATATTTATGTTTTCCCTAAGCTGAATGACGCCTTCACAGTATTTTACATCATGGGTGGTAGCAGAGGGAATTAATCAGTCTAACTGAATTCCCAAATAGACTATAAGACCCAATGAACTTCCACCATACTCCACTCACTTTTACAGTGGATCGAAAATTTAAAAACCTATTTTTAGGATGATAGCTAAGAATAGGGATTAAATTTAACAAAATAAAAACAAAATCCAATTCTATGAAAAACAGTACAATTAAAAGGAATAGCTATACGTTCCCACTGATAGGGAAACCCAACCAACCTATCTGATTTCCTTTGACCCTTCTCTTCCTAGAAGCAAGACTCCTCTTACAAGGACACCAAACATGACTTTCAATAATACTCCACTCGTGGAGATCGTAGCATCTTATCAGACAATCTTTAGGAAGGCCACATGCATAGTACAGCGAAAAGAGCGCTGGCTTTAAAGTCAGAAGACCTGAGTCCCAAATCCCAGCTTTGTTACCTACAACCAAGACAAGTTATGTTAAATAACTATTAAAGATTTTAATGAGATTGTCTGTAAGGTCTCTTCTATCTCTAAATCTATTATCTTATGACCCTCCCTTTTCCCTTCCCATACACACAATGACTTGGAAAAACTCCAAAGGAAAACCATCCACAATTCAAATTTAAGCCCATAATAATAAAGTTTTGATTCTCTTATCACAGACTGCTCATGACACAGAATCATTTCCTAAATCCATAGAACCCAACATATACAAAGATGGATAAAGTAGGTGCATACAATGTACAATGGCACAGGGATTTTAAAGAATTTCTCTCTTAAATATGAGATAATAGCTTTCTATCTACATATCTATGGATGTTTTGTGATAATTGCAGGCCTCCAGAAGATGACAGTCTTCAAGAAAATCATTCAGAACAAATTTCTCAAAAATTTCAGCAAAAAGTTCTATAAAGCATATTTTCTGGAACTGGAACTTTTATGTAATTGGAGTTACTTTTAAGTGCATATTATTACTTCTGGATATTAAAAAACCCCCAACATGTTATTTATCCTTCAATATTTTGGTTAATTGTGATTTGTGAACTCAAACATTCCTTTTTGGAGGAAAAGACTGCTAAAAAAATGTCCAATTAATAGAAGCTTGCACTTACATTATCATTTTACAGTTTACAAGGCAAATTCTTTAAAACAAAAACAAAACAAAAAAAACCCCAACATAACAAAACCCTGTGAGTAGGTGGTCCAGATATGATGCTGCAATTTACAGAAGCCTAACTAAGGGGGGGACGGGGATGGAGTCCCTCCCCAGGTATTTGGATTCCAAGTCTGATTAGTTGCTTTTTTATATTATGACAGGAGAACCTGCCTCTTATTTTGATAAGTAAACAGTAATGAAATGGACTCTGGAGAAAGTCTTTGCTACTCTTTCTTAAGAACCACGTAACTCTTTAAGAAACAGCACTTCAAGTTTACTGGAATTTAATTACAGAGACATATTTACTCACAAGACACCAACTCTAATGACCATGTCTTTGAATTCTACATCTATTAATGATATAATTCTACATCATGTGACAGCATTTTGGTTTTCTTATGGGCATAGTTAAAAAGTACTGCTTGAAAATTAAACTAAAAAGTACCTACTTTTGAGAACAAGCTGATTGACACAAAATGGCATGAAGTCATTTACTGAAGTTAAAAGAATGAAATGCTCAGTAGTCTGTTAGATGAAGTTTAATCAACATGATGTCCACCCTAAAATACTGTTTTGGGCACAATGAAATTTTTCACCTGGTCCTCCTATACAGCTCCTGCTTCATTCATTACTGCCATCAATAAATACAGCATATGCCAAATACTTTAGTTTATTTCTTTAAAACCTGAATAAGGTAGTCTCACTTATCAACAAGTTACCGAAAATCAATAAATTCCCAGAAAAAGAATTCAGAATACCTAAAAATAACAGTTTAATTCTTACATTATATCAAGCTAGTGACTCTACAGCTTGTTCAGATTTTACTGTTAGCTTAGTGTCACTAAAATTCAAATATCCTTTCATTTTATCTTTAAATTATGACCTTTATAGTATGATTTTGAAAAAAGTACTGTTTTCAAAGTATTTTTCGTTTGATAAAACTTTGTCATGTCAAAACCAAGTTTCTTTCGAATAAATTTGCCTGACAAACTTACAAAAGTCAAAAGGAAATTTATAATAAATTTATGTTGACTTAAACCCACAACCAAACTTAACGTCGAAAGAAAATAGTATTCGATTCACATGTACAGAAAAACCAAGTCACTTTCAAAAACAGATTTGGCACAATGTTCCAAAGACAGCTTCTGAAACATGCTCAACTACCACGTGTGATAAGATTAATATAGTTTCAAACACTTAGTGGATTCAATTTGTGCCTTATATTAACGAAAAAGCTTTAAAGCTTTAAAAATCAAAGTAGGTAGGTAAAAAAAAGCAGCTTAAGTTAAAGTTGAAAAGTTTAGAAACTCAGTTTTGTATGTATTTGAGGTGAAACGTCCTTTCTATATACATTTCACTGCGGATCTTTGTGTTGTGGCTCAAATGTAACTCAAAATATGAGTTGAATTTTCTGAACCTTTAAATCCAAAATAACATACACACACACACACATAACACACACAGTGAGAAATATGCATATTTCTCTCTCTCTGGAGCACTTTCCTAACCCTAAGTACAACAATGCTGCTGAAATCAAAACACAACAAATATTCTTTGGCAAGACCACTGAAGTTTTGCCCTAAGAATACTTTACACTTTACAACTTCTTGCTCCAGAATGCTTAATGGATAAGGTATAGTGACAAATGTTTTGCGTAAAGGAAAAGTAAGCTGTTAGGGAACCCCTAGACAGTTTCCCTTTAAAAAGAGGCATCAAAGGAGACTAGGAATAGTTACAAGGAGATAAAACAATGCACCCACAACTGCCAAAAAAGCTTTCTAGCCCAAACTCTGAAGCCACCCCGAATTCAGAGTTAGTCAAAGTGCCCTACTGAGGAAGCTGTCCCCTCAGCACAGCAGCAACCCCCCCACCCCCAGGCGAAGAAGTTTGACCGCAAACAGGAGAGCCCCTGCGCCCTCTGGCCGGGCACCGTCCCCAGTCCGTGGTGCCCCACGTCCCCTCCTCTCTCCACCACAACACGGCCCTGCCCTGCCCAGCCCTCCCCTCCCCCCCAGCTCCGCTGCATGACTGTGCAGCCTCTCCCAAGGCTGGGGCCTCCGCAGTAGCCCCCAGCCCTGGCCCCCACTTTCGGGCCCGAGGAAGGCGGTCCTAGGGGGCTGCCAAGAAGTGCAGGCAAGGCCAAGCGGCCGGAGAGGGTGTGCAGGCGGGCAGGCGCCGTCCGGTTCCGTGCCCCGATTAAAGATGGCGAGCATCTCGCGTGGCTCCCTAGGCTCCCCCATACAATGAAAGGGACCTGGAGACAGCGGCGTCCCCCTCCCCACCCCCACGCGGGCCCAGGAAGGAGAGTGGGCGGGCCGGCGGGCCTACCCAAAACACTGGGCGGCGGCGGCAGCAGGGCTGCCCCTGGTCCCCCCACACTCCACCGGGCCCCGGGGAAAACAAACACCCTCCTGGGCCGCCTCTCCCACTCGCACAGGCTCAGACACACTCACACTCACACGCACAGCTGGGGCTCGGCCGCCCCTGGACGCGGCTCACCTTCCATCTCCATGTCTTCCGGCTCGCTCAGCTGCTGCTCCCCCGCCTTCTGCTGCTGCTGCTGCTGGTGGTTCATGTCGGCCGCGGCCTGGGCCTCGCCTGCTGCCGGGGACCGGGACTGCGGGCCCGGGAAGCGGGGAGCAGCGAGGAGCCTGGGCGGCGGCGGCGGCGTCGAGGCGGCCTCCTCCTCGTCGTCGTCTTCGTCGGCTCCGGCTGAGGCTGGCGGCGGCGGCGCGGGCAGGGGGCGGCGGCGGCGGCTGCAGGGAGGGCAGAGGCCGGGGTTGGCGGCGGCGGCGGCTGTGGCGGGGGCAGGGAGACGCGCACGTATTTGCTCGCTATTCGCCCAATCTCGGCGCCGAGGCGGGGGAGCGGCGGCCGAGGCGGGGGAGAGGCCGGCGGGCCGGGCCGAGGCGGGCTTCCCTCCCGCGCCTGCCTCCGTCCCTCCCGCCGGGGCCCGCCCCCGCTCTGTGGCTGGCCCCGGGCTTATGTAAGCCGGGCGGGGGGCGCGGGCCCACCAGCCCCCTCACGGAGACCGCCCGGGTCTGGGCGGCGGCGGCAGCGGCGGCGGCTCGGGGCTGGCTGGCCCCGGTGGGCGTCAGGCTGGTCAGGCTGGGCTGGCTGGCTGGCGAGCGGCCTCGGCCTCAGCGGGGCGTCCTGGGCGCGGGGCGGCCTCGGGCCCTGGGGTCGGTGCGGCGGCGGATCCGGCGGCGGCTGCGCCGCGCTCTCCGCCTTGCGGCCTCCGCCTGCTGTCCGGACAGAGCAGCAAGACGCACCTCCGGCGGCTCGGCTCCCTCTCAAAATGGCGGCGGCGTGAAATGTCACATCCGCATGGGGGGCCCGAGAGCGAGCGAGCGAGCGAGCGAGGCAGGAGAGGGAGAGAGAGGGCGAGAGAGAGAGAGGAGAGAGAGAGAGAGACGAGAGAGAGGGAGGAGAGAGAGAGAGAGAGAGAGAGAAGGGTGGGAGGGAGGGAGGGAGGGAAGCAGCGAGCTAGCGAGGGAGGGAGAAAGCAAGCCAAGAGCAGGGAGGCAACCAACCGGGGAAAACGGGAGCAGCAGCGCCGCCGCCGTCGCCCCGGGAACAGCAACGCGGGCCGGGGGCGGCCGAGGAGGAGGCCGCCCTGGGGATGCTCAACTTCCCGCCTCCTCCTAGCCTCCCTTCGGGACACCCCTAGCCACCCACCGCCCGGACGGCCCAGCAAACGGACGTCTCCCTCTCATTCATTCCCCCCTTTTACACCCCACGTGCCGACTTCCTACCCACCCCCTTTCTCCCTCGGGATCCTGAACCCCACCCGACCCTCTCTCTCACCCACGCACTCAACACACACACACACACACACACACACACACACACACACACAACACACACACACACTCTCTCTCTCTCTCTCTCTCTCTCTCTCTCTCTCTCTCTCTCTCTCTCTCTCTCTCTCTCTCTCTCTCTCTCTCTCTCTCTCTCTCTCTCTCTCTCTCTCGCCCCCCCCCGTTACCTCCAAAGGATCCCTCCTTTTGGCTCGGACTCGCAACTCCGAGGCTAGAGGGCTACGTTGGGGAACAGTAAGTGGAAGAAGCCCTGGGTCTGTTGAAGGCCGGAGACCTGAGTTTGAATCTCGTCTCTGCCGGCCAAGGTCGTGGGCGACCTTGGATCGAGTCACTCTGGGTCTCAGTTTCCTCCTCTGTAATATGAAGGGGGTTGGGCTCTAGATGTTCTCTAAGCTAATCTGATTCCAAGGTTAAATCTATGATTCTATAGTCTTGCCCTGCCCCTTCCCAGCCCCTGAAATAAAATGTCAGGTCCTAATTTACATCTATTCCCAGTCCATTGGACAGCCCCCACCCAGCAAGTCCCCGGTTCCTCCAGCCCTATAGAACTCTCTGAAGCTTAATATTCCTTTAATCAAATTTGCAAGACAGTAACTCTCAGACCAGTCCACCCGCTATTCACAAACCCACCCTCCCGGAGCGCGGAGAGGAAAGCCTCTGATCAGGGTTTCTTGTCTGGGAATTTATTCTTCATATCCCCAGACAGTTTCTCAGGACAAATAATCTTTTTGGGAAAGGTTAGTTACTGAATTATGAACTCTTTAGGGCAGTGACTGCCTTCTAGATTCCTGACATTCGTAAGTACTGTAACTGAGAAAAACAGATTTAAATGATAACCTAAAGGGAACAATAATACAATGTTAAATTAGTAACTGCCGGACAGGAAACTTTACGGTCTTATGTAAACATTTGCAAATCGTGTTATTTAAGTGTATTTGTGCATCTCCTACATCATACACCTGGATGTTTCAGTTCAAGGATATTCTATTTGGAAACCACTCATCTGAACATGTCTCAAATTGGAAAGAGAAAGAATGCTGAGGTTCATCCTAATATTCAATCCCACTTAAGAAGCAGTTTTTAAGCGCCTACTATGTGCCAGATGGAGTGCTAAGCATAATTTTTTTTCAAAGCACCCCACCTCCACATCCCCTTAACTCCTAAGAGTAGACAATCTAATATAGAATTTCCATTCTTCCTACTTTTTCTTCATCCGAGGTACCCTATTCTAAAATCTGGGTAGGGGTTTCAGCATTTGTTGTTATTCAGGTATGTCTTAAGATAATGAAGAGTTTGCAGATACAAAACCTTGCAAATTTCTTAAAGGCTGGGACAATTTCATTTTTGGCTTTGCACACAATACACAGTGGAGAATTTAAAGGGTTGAATGGATTGTTTCTATACACCGTGGATCAAATCAAGTACTTGTCCATGAGTTCTTGTTGCAAACAGCTATCTTTGATACCTGTAGATTCAGACAGGGAGATTAAAGAGACTTCGTTCCTACTGTAGAAAAAAAGAGGAAAGGTTTAGGAAAGCATTAAATAGAGGCTAGGAACTGTGGGAACAAGTTAGATATATTGTATTAGTTTGTTACATGAGTTGACTTTTAAAACCTCAGTTGCCTTTCTTGAAAATGGAAATGGGAGTCTCAATTCCTGTTTGAGAGTAGGGGTAAGAAATAGGGGGTGGGCTTCTGAATCTACCTGGAATTCCCGCTTTGTCCAGAGTTTCTAATTTCTTTAGCCCTATTACAATTCCTTACATTGCATGGCTGTTGTGTGTGTTTTAGCCCAAAGAAAATGGATAGAATCTGGACTTAAAGTCAGGAAGGCCCAGGTTTAATCCTAGCTCATGCACTAATTAGCTGTGTGAACGGAGGCAAGTCATTCAATCCCTTTGAACCTCAGTTTCCTCTTGTGTAAAATAGGGATTATAAGTGCACCTACCTCAGTGTTGTTTGAAGGTCAATTGAAATAATTGACGAAATAATAATATGTCAAATCATTTGCAAAGCATAAAGTGAAATGTTACATAAATGAATGTGAGCTATTTTTATTTTTGGAGAAAAAGAAACTTGGAGGGTATGCCAATGCAATGTCAGTGTATTTCTAAAGAATGGAGCTTGCCCCATTTTCATTGCACTAGTATTATGTCCACATTAAATAAAAAAGCTGTTTTTCAGTAGGAGGGGGTGTGGAAAAGCACTTCTGCAGAAGATGTGAATCAGCTGTGTGATGTTTGTCTGCTCAGAGGGCTGTGTTCAGGTTTAATGCAGTTGATGCAGTTAAAGGTTTTTTGAATTCTCCAAATTAAAGGAATGGGATTAAGTGTAAAGTATTACTACCACAACTTAAAATTTTCTAGTCTGTCCAATTAATGAAACTGAGAACAGGAGGAAGGATTGTAAACCCGGGTAGCCTCAATAAAAGCACACTGAGGGAGGTGGCTCTGCTCATTCAGTACATCCCATAAAGTCAATGGGAGTGGCCCCCTATCATTACTAGTTTAGCAAGACACATTTCATTTCATAGTTCTGGTGCCAATGCCATGACTTGACAGAAACTGTGTTATTAATTCTTCAGAGGATAGAGTATATGTATTGAAAACCTTTTTTAGTTCAAAATAATAATGTAATGAAGAGTCAAAGAGGCAACTGAACTAGTTCCTTTTCTTTTAATGGATCTCAGGGCCAAAGGTGATTGCAAAGCATGGGAAACTCATATGGAGCTATCTAAACAAGTGAGTCAGTTAGCAAGCATTTATTAAGGACTTCCTATGAGCCAGGCACTGCTCAAAGCTCTGGGGGTATAGAGAAAGAAAAAAACATAGTTCTTCTTGCCCTCAAGGAGTTCACATTCTAATGGGAAGAAGGAGGAATAAGCAGTTTCCTATTCTAATGAAAGGAGATGACATGCCAAAAAATTGTATATACAAGATATATGCAATATAAATGGAAGTTTTATCTTGACTAACATTCATTTCAGATATTTTATACGACAAGGTAAATTGCAAAATTATAATACAGTTTCATTTTAATAATTGTTATACTTGCATGGTTGTGCTTATAGATTGTTGGCATTTTTATATTTTTCTATAGGAAAGTATACCTCTCTTTGGTGGGATGATTAGATTAACTTGAAATTAAAAATTAAAATGTACAAAAATCAAAGATAAAGTAGTTCAGAATAATAACCTGAATAGTGAGCATCTTTGAAATAAATGTTTCTAAGAAGTCTCCTGATTTTCTCTCCAGATAGTTTTATGAAGGTAAAACTATATGAAACCATTACTTGTTGCTGTCCACTAGACAGGAGGCTGATCTTTGCTAAAAGGATTAAAGGACCCTGTTGTTTTCTGTGTCAAAGTTGTTGAGTATTATGAATGGTTATTTCACTGAATTCTCTATATTTTAACTGTAAGTTTAAGTAACATTGGTTATATTCTAAATACCTTCCTCCCAATTTATAAAGTAAGCTAATAGTAAGCATTTATGTAATAGTTCTTTAAGATATGCACAGTGTTTTATACATATTATCTCATTTACCCTCACAACAACTTTGGGAGGTATGTGCTATTGTTATCCATTTTGCAGATGAGGAAACTAAGGCAGACAGAAATTAAATGACTTGGGCAGGGTCACACAGCTAGTAAAGTGTCTGAGGCAGGTTCTGGATTCAGATCTTCCTAACTCCAGGTCCCTGTACTTTATCCACTGCCCCACCTATTTGCCTAGAAACTAATTTTAGTTCCCCTTTTTTATACAAGTTGCTACAAAGCTCTTAGTAGCAATTTAAGCTTTAATATCTTTAATAGCTTAAAACTGCACTAAGGCTTTTGGGACACCTT